ATGGAATGAGGGGCTGATTCCTCCAAGAAGGGGGTGATGAGGAAGGGCCCCACACTCTTCCACTTGGGTTCCCCTTTTCCTCTGAACCTCCCTGGCCCTCCAACAGCATTATATCCCCGAATCGCCATTGAACTTTTCTACTTGGTGCTTTATCAGCCTCTCCTTTGGCCTTGTTACCTCCTTTTTGCGAAAGCCATCCCCTTTTCCTTCTCTCACTTCTCTTTTCCTGGCCCTGTTCATTTGATTAGCACTTACTCAGTATGTAGTGTTATGTGCTTACAGGAGCAGCCGCAGCTTCATAATTTGTGGGATCCAGCGCAAAATGAAAATGCAGGGTCCTTATTCAAAATTATGAAAGATTTAGCTTTGGCTGGTGTGGCTCCGTTGCTTGGGCATTGTCTTGCATACCAAAGGGTTGCTGGTTCGATTCCCAGTCAGGGTACACGCCGGGGTTGTAGGCTTGATCCCCTGTAGGGGGCGTGCAGGAGGCAGCCCAACCATGTTCTGCTCTCACATCGATGTTTCTCTCACTCCCCCTCCCTTCCTCTCTCTAAAAATCACTTTTAAGAATCTTCTAGAAAATTATTAATGATTTCGAGGCAGCGATAGCAGATCATTAAACTGGTCGCAATGCCTTATGTGAATGCAGAGGCTACAAGTCCATGGAGCCGACCTGTGTGCACGTACTCTGGGGGATGTGGTGAAGATATGTACTATCATAGAATTACATTTTCATTACATTATCTCTTAAAAATATTTTAATCCTGGAAATATTCTAAGGCCCATAAAAGAGGAAAGGATGGTGTAATGAACTTTCCGAGCACCCCACACACAGCTTTGACAATTATCAACATTTCGTCACTCTTGTTTCATCTATTCCTTCCACCTTCCCATTTTATATTTCATTTTATTTTTGTTTATTTATTTTTAAATATATCTTTATTGATTTCAGAGAGAGGAAGGGAGAAGGAGGGAGAGACGGAAACATCAATGATGAGAGAGTCATTGATCAGCTGCCTCCTGCAAGCCCCTGGATGGGGATCAAGCCTGCAACCCGGGCATGTGTCCTGACCGGGAATCGAACCCTGATCGCCTGGATCCTAGGTCGATGCTCAACCTCTGAGCCATGCCCGGCTGGGCATCTCCCCCATTTTTCAAAAGGCATCCTGCCACCTCTACCATAAGTATTTCAGAACATAATTCCAACCAGTGAGAACATGGTTGGAATGCACATTAAAATCACAGCAAGGAGTCACCACACCCCTATCAGAAAGGCTAAAATAAAAAATAGGAATAACACCAAATGCTGGCGAGGAGGCGGAGAAACTGGATCACTCACTCATTGCCGGTGGGAAGGTAGAACGGCTCAGCCACTCTGGAAAAGTACCGCAGCTTCTTATCAAATGAGATACGCACTTACCGTATGGCCCAGCAACTGCACTCACGGGCACTCACTCCAGAGAAATGAAAACTTACTCTCGCATAAAAACCTGTACACGAATGTTCATGGCAGCTTTATTTGGAAACAACCTAAATGATCTTCAGCGGGTTCAACAAACTAGCACACCCGTACCACGGACAATGACTCAGCAATAAATGGGAACAAACTACGATATAGCACATGCAACAGCCTGCTGGACCTCCGCGGAATGATGCTGAGTGGGAACAAGCCAGTCGGATTCCGTTTCTCCAGCACCCTTGGAAGAGGGAGCTCCGTGAAGAGCAGATTAGTGCTTCCAGGGGTGAGGGAAGTGAGGAGGGAGCTGTAGCTATAAAAGGGTAGCCCAAGGGATCCCTGTGCTGGAAACATTCTGTATCTGCACTGTGGCAGTCACGGGAGTGTTCAGGTGATAACATTATGTGGAACTAAATACAGACACGCAAACGAGTTCACACGAAACTGAAATCGGAGTACGGTTGATGGGTCCCATCAGCGTCAGTGTTATTGTACTATAGTTGTGCAGGATGTTACCACTGGGGCACTGATGAAAGGGAGCGTGGCATCTCTCTGTGTTATGTTTGACACGTGCATGTTAAAGAATAGGGGCATTTCCGGGGGGGATACACGAAAAACTAAACAGCGACAGGAGCGGGAAAGGGGAGACTCTTCACTTCTCACTTGACACCTTGCTTTGTGTTTTTGTTTTGTTTGTTAACCACATGCACGAAATCCCTTCTTGCTGTTGTTAACTACCGCTTGCACTTTGGATCTGTAAAAAAACACCACTTCTAGGAAATTTACCTAAGACGGTTGCGTTTTGGTAAGCTTGGAATTTGAACTACAATGCAAGAAAGTGGTCACTATGGAATCCCAGGTGTTGACATGATTGCAGAGTTTATATTACATTACGACTATTGATCAGAAGGGGAGGAGAGGAGGAAACTAAGTATGAAACTCTTTGGATTAGAAGAAGAGCCTTCCTTTATTTAAATAAATGCAGCTGCTTTGGGGGGCTTTCCCCTTTCTCACCTTGTTGGTTAATTTTACGTGTCAACTAGGCTGGGCCAAGGCATGCCCAGATGGCTGATAAAACGCTATTTCTGGGTGTGTCTGTGAGTGTTTCCAGAAGAGGTCAGCATTTGAATGGGTAGACTGAGTAGAGGTGGCTCTCAGGGATGTGGGCGGGCACCATCCAATCCTTTGAGGGCCCAGGGAGAACACAAAGGCCAAGGAAGGGGAATTTGCTCTCTGCTTGAGCCAAGACATCTATCTCCTGCCCTCAGGTATCGGCTCTGGGTTCTTAGGCCTTTGGGCTCCACTGGAACCACACTGCCGCTGTCCTGGGCCTGGGCCCCCGGCTTGCAGACGGCAGCCTGTGGGACTCCTCTGCCCCTTAATCACGTGAGCCAACTCCTCACAATCTCTTTCTCATTTCTCTATCTCTAAATATCCCACTTGTTGTGTGTCTTTGGAAAACCCTAATACACATTGTTTTGGATTCTGTTTGGGTGAAGTTGTTCAGAAATTATAGTCTAGATCACGACAGTAAGGATTAATCTGTCTCTTTTCTTCAGAGAACACTCAGTTCTGCCACTGGATTAGGAACACGGGATGCTATTCTTTGGAGAAGTCTGGGCAGATCGGGGAGAAATGCAACTGTGATAAGAGATTATCCCACATAAGCCTGGGGTAAGATTTAGAATTAAATTAAGCAATTGATAGGTTTAGAAGAACAATGGGACGAATGCACAGTTGTCCCCAAATGTGAATCTACAAATTCTTGGTTTTTCATTCATTTAAATATATGTTTGTTTACCACAATAAAAGATCATTTAAAAAGGTATACAAATAAAATGGAAACATTGTGACATATTTATTCCAGGATTAATATGTGAACATCCTCAGTAAGGTAATAATATACTTTAATGTATCNATGGAAACATTGTGACATATTTATTCCAGGATTAATATGTGAACATCCTCGGTAAGGTAATATACTTTAATGTATGNATTAATATGTGAACATCCTCAGTAAGGTAATAATATACTTTAATGTATCGAGACATAATGAGATCACGCTATATAGCTTCATCTTCTTTCCCAATCAGTATCGTAGCCTAAGATTTCCAGTGTTCTTCATAATTCTTCAGACATAGTTTTGAATGGCTATAAAACATTACATCTTGGATGAAAACCATAATTTATTCGAGCGTCCTCCTGCTGTTAGATACCTACATTATTTGCTATCATGAATAATGCTGAGACAAGCATCTCAGGAAACGGGCTTTGAAGGAGAGAGTGCTTATTTGTACATGTACTTCAGGCATCACTTCACTGATAAGCCCGGGAAGGATGACCTGAAATCTGAAATCCTGGAATATGCCGGAATCATGGAAAACGGGGAGAGGGGAGGAAGCCAGAAACTGATGGGGGGAAAATGGATGTGAGATTGGAAACAGCCAGAGGGAGGGGAAAGTGGAAGATGGCCTCTGATCCTAAAACCTGTCATGTCACGCTCCAAGCCAAAGCGTCCCAAGTGTGGCTTCAGCAGTTGAATAAAGGCTATTCTCAAGGAAGTCCAAATACTGAGCGAACCCAAGGTATTCTGATTACTGCACAGGGGGAACAGATGGAGCAGGGGCTTTGGGTAAATAATGGCAGGGGGTGGAGAGTGGCAAGGCTATAGGTCTGTGGGGGGCAGCAGGGCTTACAGGAGGCAGGGAGAGAGGCCCGGGGCTTTCTCAGGATCTGTACTGTGGGTGAGAGGAAGGAGCTATGAGGGGATGAGCAGCTCTCACAGAACGAGGCAGCTCCAGCCAGTCTCCCTGCACCGCCTTGCCCTGGCTCTGCTGGTCCGTGTAGCTGGACCCGGTTTAGATATCTGGGCTCAAGCTCAGCCTCGCTCTGGTTCCCCCAGCCTCCACTCCCATGGGCCTCAGGTCCCAGCCCCATCTCAGACACTGTGGCTGGTCACAAAACAGTAAGTGCCAAACTGGATAGTTGCAAAATCCACGTGGCTTAGTTTGCTGCCCCTGACAGAGAGACTGAGCAGTTTCTGCAGAAGAGGGACTGTTTCCTGTTCCTTCTACACAGGCTGCCCCAAGGAGGGTGCGGAGCTGGGAGCACAGGGACAGCTGCTCTTCTCAAATGCCTGGAGGAGGCGGAATGTGACTGCAGCAACAAGGACACACAAACACCCAGAGGTAGTGTCTCTAACGGCATTAGGTTTATTCTGTGGGAAGGCAGAGCCTGGGGCTCTCGGAAGGCACCTGAGAGGTACAGAAGTAAGAGCAGCTGTGAGAGTGACAGATCATGCACCGCAGCCAGGGCCACAGAGGAACCCCCATCCCATGGGGACAGCAGGGTCCCAGTGCCCCTCGGTGCAGGAGGGGTAAGCAGACGGGCTGCTTTCTATACCATCGGTTTTGCTTCCTCTGGGCATCCTTATAGTCTGGCACTCACTGCTGGAGGCACGGGGCCCATCCACTTCTCTCCTGGATGGAGAAAATCACGCATGTCAGAGGCTGACTCCACAAGTCCCCGGGTTCTCTCAGAAGGGCTGTNGGCATCCTTATAGTCTGGCACTCACTGCTGGAGGCACGGGGCCCATCCACTTCTCTCCTGGATGGAGAAAATCACGCATGTCAGAGGCTGACTCCACAAGTCCCCAGGTTCTCTCAGAAGGGCTGTGTTTGGCTTCAAGGTGCAGAGGCTTCCTTCTCCTATGGGGGTGAAGGTGCCCCCCCCCCATTCAACCTCGAGCACCTGTGCCTACAGAAGGCTTCGTTGTTGGAAATGCCTAGAACAGTTTTTGTTCCAAATCTGTCCTATTCAACGGATATAATGGCAGTAGGACTGGGGTCAAGGGAAGCTCAGCATGAACCAGTCACTTACCCAGCAGGTGGGCCAGCAACTCCATCCGGTCAGAGCCAAACAGCATGTGGGTTTGGCCATCCAGGTGGGCCACGGTGACAGGCAGCCCAAAGGCCTGGGGAAAGCAGTGACAATGCAGGGAGGAAGGTGGTTATTAGGCTGGGGTTGAAGGCTATGAGCCAGTACTTGTCTGAGGTCACAGAAGCAGACAGCCAGAGGGCCCACGGCTCTAAGGAGTTTTCTAACGCTCAGATGTTCTTTTATCACCATCTACCTCCCCTTTCCCTTTCCTTGGGCTCAGGGAGAGGAGGGTCATCTGGGAGGGCTACGGAGGAGCCTCTTTGGACAGGAGTCTGGGGACCCAGCAGGGACTCTCAGGCTCTGGTCAGCCCTGGGGTTGTGGACACACATCAAGAGTGACTCACCCCATATTTGCAGGCTGCGTCGGTGGTCTCCTTGAGCTGGTTCTTCACCTGTGGCGTTGACGACTTTTCCAGAAGTGCCCGGGCTTTTTCTATGGACATGCCAGCCTTCTCTGCAGCCTGAGGGGTTGTGGCAGGGAGCACAACTGTGTCTGCATTAGTGGGAGTGGGGATCTCAGGAGAAAACTCGGGTCTTTCTACTTTCCGCCCCCAAGTTCTCCCCGCAAGGCCTTTACCCACCCACAACTGGAGGTCTATCCATACCAAGAGGGGCTATTCCTCCAAAATTTTGAGTTTCGTGGAAAAAAGCAGGTGGCAGTTATAGTTGCATAAACTGAAAACCCAAGGGCGCCTCAGAGGCAGCTCCTGACCTCTTCAGTAAACAAGGACACCGAATCCAGGTGGTACCCACTCTATCAGCCTTAAGGAGTTGTTAGTAGCAGAGCCAAAGCCTTCCTGCTTCTCAGAAGTCCTGAATATCTTGTGTTTTCCTTTGTTGTTGTTGTTTTTTTTTTTTGAATCAAAGGCTGGGCTCTAATTCCCATGGAATTTCCTGGGGACTTCTGAGCGCGGCCAGTGGCTGTAGCCACCTGTCTGGCTTTAAGAGAGTGATCGAGGCTTCAGTTTGGGTTTGTTGTTCTAGTTTGGGATCAGTGGTTTGGCTGCACGTTAGAATCTCCTGGGGGGGGGGCTTTTAAAAATCCCAATTCACAGTCTATCCCCTAGAACAATTACATTGGAGTTTCTGGGGGCTGTTGCCCAGCTGTTCCAGGTGATTTTGATACACAGCCTGGTTCCAGGGCCACTGACACCTGACCTCCTCCGCCTGGAGCGGAAGCAGATCGGGCAGCGCATTCTAATGTGGGATTTTTTTGACTTCACTGCATGGGAGGGCTGCGTCCCAGACCAAATGCCCAATGCTAGGGGACTGGTTAAGAAAACAAAAACAAGTCCGCTGAGTGGAATGCTACCAGGAGCTAAGAAACACACTTTCGAAGAGTTCACAGTGGCACGGAAATGACCGTTAAGTATTAAGTGAAAAGCAAGCCTATGATATACTTTGCAGGAATAAAAACACTGGAGAATATACCAGTCATTCTTTGTGTNTACTTTGCAGGAATAAAAACACTGGAGAATATACCAGCCATTCTTTGTGCGCTTAACTTTTGTGACTTGCCGTTTTATATGTTAAATTTGAATATGCCTCAACTATCTTTTGTAAACTGGAGGGAAAGTGTTGTTTTGAGCTTCCCGATTTACTCCCACAGGAAGATGTGCTGTGTGGCACAGGTTTTGATGTTTTGAGCTATTTCCATTTGTTCCGCTTTAGGCTCTTGTATAATTCTGGCTTGACTCAGCTATCTCTTTTTGCCTTTTTATTTCTTTATAATTTCTGAGAGAGAGGAAGGGAGAGGGAGAGAGAAACACTGATGAGAGAGCGATCAACTGGCTGCCTCCTGCAGGCCCCTACTGGGGAGCCCGAAACCCGGGCACAGGCCCTAACCCTGGGAATCGAACCAGCGACCTTTTGGTGCATGGGACGATGCTAAACCAACTGAGCCCAACTAAACCAGCCAGGCTCTTTTTGTCTTTTTAAAGTTTCCTGCTTTCTACTTGGGACGCGTTGGTGAGATTTCTGTTGGGAGTGGTTTGGAGTCAAGACTTGCCAATACTTCATCCCTCACCATGGGAGGGGGGTGCTAACGGTTATTCTCTCTCCCACTGACCTCTTCCATCAAAGAAATCCAAAGGTAGAAGTCTGCCCTTCCCCTTTCAACCCTGGGATATATTTTAAGAGTCCTCTTAGTTCCAGCTTTTCAACACAGATGACCTTTCTCCCCAAATAACAATGATTCCTTCCATGTAGCAAGAAAACTATGTCTCCTCTGTCCCCAAATGCCAGCTCTTCTCAGATTCCCTATGGGGGGGGGGCAGGGGCAGGATACTCACTGCCAGGATGTTCTGGGGCTCCGTGATGTCTTCATCCTGGGAAGGAGAACACTCAGCAGGAAGGGGTGGCAGGGTGAGGGGTGGGATGGGCAGGAGCAGGAGTCTGAAATGGGCCGAGGGGAGGGTCACCAAGTCCTGCAGGGTCTCCCAGGTGGGTTCCCAGAGCCCTGCCCTCACCCGTGACCAGACACGCATCCACAGTTCCCTGGACACTTTCTCCAGCATCTCGGGCTGCTCCAAGTTCACAGCGGTGAGGAAGCGCATGGCCGACAAACTCCCTGGGGGGCAGAGGCACTCAGAGGTAGGGCTCCCCTAGCTTGTCTCCCTGGTGGCGATGGCAGAGTTGCTCTTCCCTGCTCCTGACACCCTCCAGAGCTCAATCACCCTCAGCCTCCCACCCAAGTTTCTCGTAACAGATCTGTCCCGCTCTCTCTCCTCTTATGTCCCCTCAACCTTCTGTTTGCCCAACTCTGAGCCCAGCTTTTCCCAGGGGTTGTTTTAGCGAAGTTAGTCGCCCAGCCCCTCCTTCTTGGCCCCACAGTCTCCAACTTCCCTGCCTTCCACTTGCTGTCCCATCAGAATCCCACTCTCTTCACCTTTTTCAAGGATCACAGAGAAGAAATCCTTGGGGAACTGGATGGGAACCTGGATATGCTGTCCCAAGAGCTGAATGTCATTTGTCAAGTATTTGGCCTTGCGGGGAAGCATAGCTGGAGGCTTGTTACCTGCAAACGGAAAGTTGGACCCGATGTGGAGAGAGGGCCTAAGGATCCCAGGCTTGGGGGACCCCTACTGGGTTTTGGGCAGAGGGCACATTGCTAGCTGCTGGTGCCCATATAAAGACCCATTTGAGGGCAGCCCCCCAGGGCTCTGAAATCAGCCCTCCCCCCCCCTCAAGTCCCTGCCCCAAATGCTGCTTCCTTTATACCACTGTCTTTCATGATCCCTGCAATGAGGGTCGGGCGCAGCTGCAGGCGGATGTTCCAGATGTTCTTGTATCGGCACAGGATCTGCGAGCCAGTGTGCAAGACCGAAGGCGTGAACGTGGCAGAGGAAAGGGAAAGGTGTTGCATGGCAATGGATTAGCCGGAGGCTCTAGGCTCAAAGTAGAGGTTAGGCGGACACCCTACATTGCTTGGTTTGAAATAGCAAAACTCCTAGAAATCGGTCCCAGGGCCTTGGCTCCTGGGGACGGCGTCCTCCTGTTCTGCGCTCCACCTCCCCGCCCCGCAAACTGACGCCAGAGCGCTAAGAGGTGGCGGTGCCCAGGCTTTCCCCTCGATTCTTTGGAGCTGCCCCTTGGAGTTGTCCCTTTGGAGGTGTCCAAACCGCTGTGGGAAACCACCGTCTTAGGGCAGAAGGGCTCCACCTGGGGCCAGCGACTGCATTCGTTTTGCAAACACTAAGTGACCTTCAGCGCTGGCTCTCTACCTGCGCGTCCTCAACTCCTCTGGGCAGCGCCAGGAGCTGCGTGGGACCGAGGGCCCTGCGTCCCGCGCTCGCCCTTCCCTCCGCCCTCGCCGTCCCAGCCCCGGCGTCACCTCGAAGCCCAGCCAGGAGTAGGGGGACAGCACGTCGTAGAAGAGCTCCAGGGTGCGCGGCAGGGGCCCCATGCTGCGGCGCGGAGCGGCGAGCGCGCGGCCCGGAGACGCGGCGCCCGGTCCCTT